GCCGTAGCGCCGCGAGAGACCATACCGCATCTATCACTCCTAGTAATCAAGACAACTGAGAGCTCTCTCTGGTGCAATCTGGTTAGACAATATCACACAGGACAGCATCAAGTACGTGTCTGTCTTGTTGTGCTTGGACCCGCATCAAGTACAGTGTACCTGTCTGGTTGTGTTGGACAGCATCAAGTACAGTGTACCTGTCTGGTTCTACCGGACAGCATCAAGTACAGTGTACCTGCCTGGTTGTACCGGACAGCATCAAGTACAGTGTACCTGCCTGGTTGTACCGGACAGCATCAAGTACAGTGTACCTGTCTGGTTGTGTTGGACGGCATCAAGTACAGTGTACCTGTAAGGCTGAGTTGAACAGCATCAAGTACAGTGTACCTGTATGGTTGTACTGGACAGCATCAAGTACAGTGTACCTGTCTGGTTGTACTGGACAGCATCAAGTACAGTGTACCTGTCTGGTTGTGTTGGACAGCATCAAGTACAGTGTACCTGTCTGGTTGTGTTGGACAGCATCAAGTACAGTGTACCTGTCTGGTTCTACCGGACAGCATCAAGTACAGTGTACCTGCATGGTTGTAACCAGCATCTCATCGCCATACGTGATCAAGTACAGTGTACCTGCCTGGTTGTACCGGACAGCATCAAGTACAGTGTACCTGTCTGGTTGTGTTGGACGGCATCAAGTACAGTGTTACCTGTAGGGCGAGCTTGACAGCATCAAGTACAGTGTATCCTTATGGCTTGTGTGGACAGCCATCAGTACAGTGTACCTGGGTCTGGTTGAGTTGGACCAGCATCAAAGTACAGTGTACCTGTCTGGTCTGTACTGGACAGCATCAAGTACAGTGTAACTGTTCTGGTTGTGTTTGACACGCCATCATAAGTACTGTGTACCTGTCTGGTTGTGTTGGACAGTTCAAGTACCAGTGTTCCTGTCTGGTTGTGTTGGACAGCATCAAATGTACAGTGTACTGTCGGTTCTACGGGGACAGCATCAAGTTACAGTGTACCTGTCTGGTTGTACTGGACAGCAATCAAGTACAGTGTACCTGTCTCGGTTGAGTTGGGACAGATAAAGTTCAGTTTGTACCTGTCCTCTAGTTGTGTTGGACAGAATCATGTAACAGTGTTACCTGTTGGTTGTGTTGGACAGCATCAAGTACAGTGTACCTGTCTAGTTGTGTTGGACAGCATCAAGTACAGTGTACCTGTCTGGTTGTACCGGACAGCATCAAGTACAGTGTACCTGCTGGGTTTGTTACTGGACTGCATCAAGTACAGTGTTACCTGCTGGTTGTACGGACAGCATAAAGTACAGTTTGTACCTGTCTGGGTGTGTTGGACGGCATCAAGTACAGTGTACCTGTAAGGCTGAGTTGAACAGCATCAAGTACAGTGTACCTGTATGGTTGTGTTGGACAGCATCAAGTACAGTGTACCTGTAAGGCTGTGTTGAACAGCATCAAGTACAGTGTACCTGTCTGGTTGTGTTGGACAGCATCAAGTACAGTGTACCTGTAGGCTGAGTTGAACAGCATTCAAGTACAGTGTACCTGTTAAGGTGTGCTTGAACAGCATCTAGTACAGTGTACTGTATGGTTGTACTGGACTGCATCAAGTACAGTGTCTGGTATGGTTGTACTGGACTGCATCAAGTACAGCCAGAGACTACTCTACTGAGACTACCCATCTCGAGTACTATGTACTGGACAGGCATCAAGTCTCTCTCACGAACCCCGAGGACTCTCGTCCCTCGGCTGCGGTGCCTTCAGCGGTACCACTAAGAGATGATCAAGTACAGTGTACCTGTAAGGCTGTGCTGAACAGTATCAAGTACAGTGTACCTGTATGGTTGTACTGGACAGCATCAAGTACAGTGTACCTGTCTGGTTGTGTTTGACAGCATCAAGTACAGTGTACCTGTCTGGTTGTGTTGGACAGCATCAAGTACAGTGTACCTGTCTGGTTGTGTTGGACATCATCAAGTACAGTGTACCATGATTGTATTACCCTACTGTATCACCGTGATTGTAATAACCTCCTACTATATCACTGTCATTGTATCACTTTACTATATCACCGTAACTGCAAGCAGCACCTGTCACGTATTGCTGAGTTAGTGTTCGTGTGACCATTTTCTCAGTTTGTGTTCCATCAACGTTTTCTATGATGTGAAGCAGCAGCAGCTGTGGAAAACTGACCTTCCAGCCACTATACTGTTGAAGCAAGTGAAGCTGTGAGAAACTGACTTCTGCACTATACTGAGAAGCAGTGATAGATTGTGGGAACTGACCTTCCAGCACTATACTGTGAAGCAGTGACAGCTGTGGAAAACTGACCTTCCAGCACTATACTGTGAAGCAGTGACAGCTGTGGGAAACTGACCTTCCAGCACTATACTGTGAAGCAGTGACAGCTGTGGAAAACTGACCTTCCAGCACTATACTGTGAAGCAGTGACAGCTGTGAGAAACTGACCTTCCAGCACTATACTGTGAAGCAGTGACAGCTGTGAGAAACTGACCTTCCAGCACTATACTGAGAAGCAGTGATAGCTGTGGAAAACTGACCTTCCAGCACTATACTGTGAAGCAGTGCCAGCTGTGAGAAATGACCTTTCAGCCTATAACTGGTGAAAGCGTGAACAGCTGTGAGGAATGACCTTCCAGCACTTATACTGAAGAAGAAGTGATAGCGGTGGAAACTGACCTCTCCAGCACTATATGTGAAGCAGTGATGCTGTGAGGCCAACTGACCCTTCAGCACTATACTGTGAAGCAGTGACAGCTGTGAGAAACTGACCCTTCCAGGCACTATACTGAGGACGCCGTGATAGTGTGGAATAATACCTGACCTTCCAGGCACTATATGTGAAGCAGTGATAGCTGTGGGGAAACTGACCTTTCCAGCACTGATACATGTGAAGAAAGCAGTGAGTGATTGCTGTGGGAAACTGACCATCCAGGCACCTACTGTGACGCAGATGACAGCTGTGAGAAACTGACCTTCCCAGACCTATCTGAGAAATCAGTGATAGCTGTGAAAACTGACCTATCCAGCAGACTATACTTGAAGCAGTGAATAGCTGTGGGAAACTGACCCTCAGCTCTATATTGTGAAGCAGTGACAGCTGTAGGAAACTGACCTTCCAGCACTATACTGAGAAGCAGTGATAGCTGTGGAAAACTGACCTTCCAGCACTATGCTGTGAAGCAGTGATAGCTGTGGGAAACTGACCCAGCAGCGCTATACTGTGAAGCAGTGACAGCTATGGGAAACTGGCCTTCCAGCACTATACTGTGAAGCAGTGACAGCTGTGGGAAAACTGACCTACCAGCACTATCTGTGAAGCGATGACAGCTGTGGAATGACTTCCAGCAATTTAACAGTAAAGCAGTTGACAGCTGTGGGAAACTGACCTTCCAGCACTATACTGTGAAGCAGTGACAGCTGTGGGAAACTGACCTTCCAGTACTATACTGTGAAGCAGTGACAGCTGTGAGAAACTGACCTTCCAGCACTATACTATGAAGCAGTGACAGCTGTGAGAAACTGACTTAACAGCGCTATTACTGTGAAGCAGGGACAGATGGGGAAATTGACGCCTTCCTGCACTATACTGTGAAGCAGTGGACAGCTGTGGGAAAAATGACTTCCAGCCATATACTATGAAGCAGAGACAGCTGTTGAGAAAATGACCTTACAGTTCGCTATACTGTTTGCAGCATGACAGCTGCTGGAAACTGACATTTCCAGACTATACTTTGAAGCAGTGACAGCTGTGAAACTGACCTCCAGCATTACTGTGAAGCAGTGACAGCTGTGGGAAACTGACCTTTCAGCACTATACTCTGAAGCAGTGACAGCTGCGGGAAACTGACCTTCCAGCACTATACAGTGATAGCAGTGACAGCTGTGGGAAATGACCCTTTCCAGCACTATATATGCTCGCTAAAGCATCGATCCGCTACAGCCCATCGACTCGCGCCTCGAATATCAATGACATTCCAAGCCTATACCTCTGACGCAGTGCCCAGTCTGCGGGAAAACTGCCTTCCAGCACTATACTGTGCAGCAGTGACAGCTGTGGGAAACTGACATTCCAGTACTATACTGTGAAGCAGTGACAGCTGTGGGAAACTGACCTTCCAGCACTATACTGTGAAAGTCAGTGACCAGCAGCGGGAAACTGACCTTCCAGCACTATACTCTGAAGCAGTGACAGCTGCGGGAAACTGACCTTCCAGCACTATACTGTGAAGCAGTGACAGCTGCGGGAAACTGACCTTCCAGCACTATACTGTGATAGCTCAGTGACCGCTGCGGGGGATAACTGACCTTCCAGCACTATACTCTGAAGCAGTGACAGCCTGTGGGAAAAACTGACCTTCCAAAGCACTATACTCTGATGGGCAGTTTGACAGCTGCGGGAAACTGACCTTCAGCACTATTATATGAATGAAGCAGTGACAGCCTGCGGGTAAATGACCTACCAGCACTATATGTGCCGCAGTGACAGCTGTGGGGACACTGACATTCCAGTACTATACTGTGAAGCAGTGACAGCTGTGGGAAACTGACCTTCCAGCACTATACTGTGAAGCAGTGACAGCTGTGGGAAACTGACCTTCCAGCACTATACTGTGAAGCAGTGACAGCTGTGGGAAACTGACCTTCCAGCACTATACTGTGAAGCAGTGACAGCTGCGGGAAACTGACCTTCCAGCACTATACTCTGAAGCAGTGACAGTGTGGGAAAACTGAACCTTCAGAGCCTATACTGTGAAAGCAGTTGACAGCTGTGGGAAACTGACCTTCCAGCACTATACTGTGAAGCAGTGACAGCTGCGGGAAACTGACCTTCCCCTAACTAGCATCAAGAAACCTCTCTAGAAGGAACAATATTAATAACAGTAAAAAAAACATTTAAAAATCATATAATAATAATAATAATATTTACTCAAGTTTAGTAGTAATAATGTGACGTACCTTGGGAATAGCACAGAGGGAGGATGTGTCAGCTGCAGCCTGGAAGAAATAAAGAATCATTACCACACTATTTATCTGATATGTTTCATGTTACTCACTTGTCATCTGTGACACCAGTAACACACACACACACACACACACTCACACACACACACACACACACACACACACACACATTGTGTGTTGTGGTGTGTGGATGCTGCCCCACAACACCAGGTGATACTAAGTGTTCTGATCTGGGATGAATGAAGAACCAGTTCAAGGAAAACATGATAAAAGAGAGAGAGAGAGAGAGAGAGAGAGAGAGAGAGAGAGAGAGAGAGAGAGAGAGAGAGAGAGAGAGAGAGAGAGAGAGAGAGAGAGAGAGAACATTACAACAATGTTGAACGTACTTAGAATTTCCTAACAGAAGTTTGCGAATATTACCGGAAGTGAGCGTGATGCTGCAGCTACAGCAGCAACAGTGAGTGTGATGCTGCAGCTACAGCAGTGACAGTGAGCGTGATGCTGCAGCTACAGCAGTGACAGTGAGCGTGATGCTGCAGCTACAGCAGTGACAGTGAGCGTGATGCTGCAGATACAGCAGTGACAGTGAGCGTGATGCTGCAGCTACAGCAGTGACAGTGAGCGTGATGCTGCAGCTACAGCAGTGACAGTGAGCGTGATGCTGCAGCTACAACAGTGACAGTGAGTGTGATGCTACAGCTACAGCAGTAACAGTGAGCGTGATGCTGCAGCTACAGCAGTGACAGTGAGCGTGATGCTGCAGCTACAGCAGTGACAGTGAGCGTGATGCTGCAGCTACAGCAGTGACAGTGAGCGTGATGCTGCAGCTACAGCAGTGACAGGTGAGCGTGATGCTGCAGCTACAGCAGTGACAGTGAGCGTGATGCTGCAGCTACAGCAGTGACAGTGAGCGTGATGCTGCAGCTACAACAGTGACAGTGAGTGTGATGCTACAGCTACAGCAGTAACAGTGAGCGTGATGCTACAGCTACAGCAGTAACAGTGAGCGTGATGCTGCAGCTACAGCAGTGACAGTGAGCGTGATGCTGCAGCTACAGCAGTGACAGTGAGCGTGTATGCTGCAGTACAGCAGTGACAGTGAGCGTGATGCTGCAGCTACAGCAGTGACAGTTAGCGTGATGCTGCAGCTACAGCAGTGACAGTGAGCGTGATGCTGCAGCTACAACAGTGACAGTGAGTGTGATGCTACAGCTACAGCAGTGACAGTTAGCGTGATGCTGCAGCTACAGCAGTGACAGTGAGCGTGATGCTGCAGCTACAACAGTGACAGTGAGTGTGATGCTACAGCTACAGCAGTGACAGTGAGCGTGATGCTGCAGCTACAACAGTGACAGTGAGTGTGATGCTACAGCTACAGCAGTAACAGTGAGCGTGATGCTGCAGCTACAACAGTAACAGTGAGCGTGATGCTACAGCTACAACAGTAACAGTGAGCGTGATGCTACAGCTACAACAGTAACAGTGAGCGTGATGCTGCAGCTACAACAGTAACAGTGACCGTGATGCTGCAGCTACAACAGTAACAGTGAGCGTGATGCTACAGCTACAACAGTAACAGTGAGCGTGATGCTGCAGCTACAACAGTAACAGTGAGCGTGATGCTACAGCTACAACAGTAACAGTGAGCGTGATGCTACAGCTACAACAGTAACAGTGAGCGTGATGCTACAGCTACAACAGTAACAGTGAGCGTGATGCTACAGCTACAACAGTAACAGTGAGCGTGATGCTGCAGCTACAACAGTAACAGTGAGCGTGATGCTACAGCTACAACAGTAACAGTGAGCGTGATGCTGCAGCTACAACAGTAACAGTGAGCGTGATGCTACAGCTACAACAGTAACAGTGAGCGTGATGCTACAACTACAACAGTAACAGTGAGCGTGATGCTACAGCTACAACAGTAACAGTGAGCGTGATGCTGCAGCTACAACAGTAACAGTGAGCGTGATGTTACAGCTACAACAGTAAACAGTGAGCGTGATGTACAGCAAACAGTAACAGTGAGCGTGATGCTACAGCTACAACAGTAACAGTGAGCGTGATGTTACAGCTACAACAGTAACAGTGAGCGTGATGCTACAGCTACAACAGGTAGAATACATCAAGAACCACGAAAATAGAACTGAGAAGATTTATTGCAAGAAAATATGTGAAGAATAACGGGAGAGATAAGAGAAGGAGAGAAGACGTACATGAGAATAGAGAGAAGAAGAAGGAAGTACGAGGAGAGACAAGAGAAATATGATAGGCAAAACAAAGTGTAGATTTGGCACAAACTGACACTATGGAGAGGATGAGGGAGGAAGAGAAAGGGAAGGGAAGGAAGTAGAAGAGAGGGATGGGTGTGGTGAAGGCGGGGGGGGGGAGGGGGAGGGGGAGGGGGAGGGGAGGGGGGGGGGAGGGGGGAGGGGAAAGGGGAGGGGGGCGGGGGGAGGGGGAGGGGGAGGGGGGAGGGGGAGGGGGGAGGGGGAGGGGGAGGGGGGAGGGGGAGGGGGTAATGCTGGTGACCCTTCAAAAGCGGGACGGGAAGAGGAGGAGGCTAAAAGAGGTTAGTGTCAGTGGCAGCAACAGTGGGAGAAAAACTACCTGGAGGATACAAGAGCCTCACCACTACCAGTACCACCACCATCTGTACCACTACCGCCAGTACTACCAGCTGTGTTATCAATACCAGCTGTGGCACCACCACTAGCTGTGGCACCACCACTACAAGATGATGTCACCACCAGCTGTGGTACCACCACTACATGAAGTCACCACCAGCTGTGGCACCACCACTACACAAAGTCACCACTAGAGGAAACACTACCATCAGTGAAGAATGAAGCTTCAGATAGTGTTATGGTGCTAAACGCTCCTGGCGGCGGCGGCGGCGGAGTGTACAGCTGGGGGCAGTTGTGCTGACCTTTGACTTCCTGAGGCACGCGTGCCATCATGATGGTTAACTGGCCGCCTGCCTGCCTGCCCCAACCCCCGCCTGCCCAGCAGTCCCCCTACCCTTCCTATCATGCCCAAACACCACTTAACTCAACAGCATCATTCACTCTTCCTGGTCTCTTACTCACTCCTTTATAACTCAACTATGTCTTCTCAACACACACACACACTACTACTACTACTACTACAACTACACCACGACACTTCACAACATCTCAAGGTAAGAAAGGTAAAATATCCTTAGCTCTCCAGCAATGTTCCTTTTTCTTGTCCTTAGACTGACCCCACTTCTACTACTATTACGACTACCACTCCATTACTACTATTACTATTGCTACTATCATTACCATTCCTTCCTTTCACTCTCCCTTCTATCTGTTGTGCCACTAAAACTACTCTCCCTACTTTCTACTACCGCAGTACTACTACTACCACTATCACTACTACTATTTCTTCCTCTCTTGGTCCCGTTCCTGTCCCCCCTCACCTATATATACTGGCTTCCTCACTCTTGTGTCTTATTGTGACTTTGTAAATGGTCCAAGTAGGACTGTAACAACTGAGCTGAACAACGAGGTGATAGAAGACTGCAACAACTGTCACACTGAGCTGAACAACGAGGTGATAGAAGACTGCAACAACTGTCACACTGAGCTGAACAACGAGGTGATAGAAGACTGCAACAACTGTCACACTGAGCTGAACAACGAGGTGATAGAAGACTGCAACAACTGTCACGCTGAGCTGAACAACGAGGTGATAGAAGACTGCAACAACTGTCACGCTGAGCTGAACAACGAGGTGATAGAAGACTGCAACAACTGTCACGCTGAGCTGAACATACACACGTCAGAGGCAGCGTGTGACGCTTCTGGAGTCGCCACCTCATGCAACCTAAATTGATTGATGCTCTCCCCCCCCCCCCCTTCCCCCCTCCCTCCCTCTCATCTCTCTCTCTCTCTCTCTCTCTCTCTCTCTCTCTCTCTCTCTCTGTATCCATCCCTTCTCTTTCCCTCTCTCTCACTACATACATATTCATAATACATATTTACCTGATTTTCATGATGTAAAACAGAAGTGCCTGGAACAAACATCTGGTAACATCAGTTTTCTACCAACATATTACTGCTGCTGCCTCAAAACTTTCCTCTCACAGCGTCATTATCACAACCGCGAGGAAAATGAAAGGCTGGATAACGAGAACCTTCAAAACAACATATTACAAGCCAATGATAATCATTAAGTCACTTGTTCTCTCTAGACTGGAATATTGTTGTACATTAACTGTTCCTGTTAGATAACAACATCTAACATGTGACTGTCACACTAGATAACATTTAACATGTGACTGTTACACTAGATAACATCTAACATGTGACTGTTACACTAGATAACATCTAACATGTGACTGCCACACTAGATAACATCTAACATGTGACTGCCACACTAGATAACATCTAACATGTGACTCCCACACTAGATAACATCTAACATGTGACTGCCACACTACAATAGCATAATTATGGTACAGTCCGCCAGGTGTCTCTGTTTCCTAACGCACCTTCAAATTTGTTATTGTCTTTACGTATTACGGTATTTATGGAAGTTACATAGTAAGTGGTTACACCTTAACACAGTAGACAGTACAAAAATTGGAGAGGTGACTCTGAAATAAGTCTGTCAGCTGTGAGAGGTGACGAGTCTTTTCATGGTAAAAGATGGCACACACATATACGCAGTCTCAAGACTAGGGATGATCAAGTCCCGGAGGACAAGAATCAGTAAAATCAATTACAGCTAAAGAGGTAGGGCCAGGAGCTATATACTCACTCCTAGCAAAGAAAGAGGCGTGTTAGCCGCAGTAACGTGAAACGGGGGGTCCAGGAGCTAGAGATGTAGTGATCACACACATAACAGCTGGTACATGTGGTGACACAACACGGCTGATACAGGTGGTGACAAGACAGCTGGTACACGTGGTGACACAAGACAGCTGGTACACGTGGTGACACAACACAGCTGGTACAGGTGGTGACAACACGGCTGGTACAGGTGGTGACACAACACGGCTG